TGGATGGCGGTGCTGAGCAGACAGAATCTACACGGATTAATAAAATGAATGATTTGTGTTATATGTGCGTTATACAAGGCTGCTGAGTAATACAGTAAGTGACGCGCCTCTTCTGATATTCCTAACGGCAGCTTCGTGAAACTTCTTTAGGAAATGACCAGCAAGGTAGATGTTAGATGAAAGTGGAAAGTTCCCGGAACCGACGTGAGTAATGTACCAAAAAAATGTGGGTTCTACCTGCCCTGTATATCAATTTGTCTGAAATCCTGCTCGGGCTGCATTGGTGTTACCTACGGAAGTTTGCTATATAGTTCTTATGTAAAGTGATTAGCTAATTTCCCCAAATTACCAGAGAGATAAAACTAATGTCTGGATGTTTATATCTAGCTTATCTAGAAAGCAAATGACAAAAATCATATATTTGTTTTTAAGTTCATTTATTGTCATCAATCATTTTAACTTTCTAATCAAACATAAAACACAGAACTTTTTCCAGACCTAGCCCAACCCCTGAAAAATAACCCCATACCATTATCCCTCCTCCATCAAACTTTAAAGTTGGCACAATGCAGTCAGGCAGGTAATGTTCTCCTGACGTCCGCCAAACCCAGATTCATCCATCGGACTTCCAGACAGAGAAGCGTGATTCGTCACTCCACAGACCAAGTTTTCACTGCTCCAGAGTCCTTTGGTGACGTGCTTTACACACTCCATGCTATGCTTGGCATTGCACTTGGTGATGTGAGGCTTGCATGCAGCTGCTCGGCCATGGATGCCCATTCCATGAAGCTCCTGGTGCACAGTTTTTATTCTGGGGTTAATGCCAGAGGAAGTTTGGAACTCTGCAGTTATTGAGTCAACAGAGCTTTGGTGACTTTTATGTACTATGTGTCTGCACTCGGCAACCCTGCTCTGTAACTTTACGTGGTCGGCCATTTTGTGGCTGAGTTTCTGTTGTTCCTAAATGCTTCACTCTGCAAAAATACCACTTACAGCTGACTGTAGAATATCTAGCAGGGAAGAAATTTGGCGTCCTGTGACAGAACCACGCTTGTGTTCACTGAGCTCTTCATAATGACCTATTCTTTCACAAATGTTTGTGAACCTGACTGCATGGCTAGGTGCTTGATTTTATACACCTGTGTCAATGGGTCTGAATGAAACACCTGAATTCAATGATTGAGAGGTATTTCCCAGTACCTTTATCCATATTGTATATTTATTTGAGTGAAGTGTGTGTTTACGTGTGTGTGCGTATAGCACGAAATGCTGTTCCTATGTAATGTGCTAAAAGGACATCAACGTAAATACTTTTTCATATAATAACGTACATTAAGGTCAACATGTCAATCAGTGATTAAAATTACATTTAATGTGTATGTTTTCATAGACACTCTAGATCAGGAGTGTCAAACTCCAGTCCTGGGGGGCCGGAGCCCTACACATTTTTGGGTTTCCCCTCATTTAACACACCTGATTCAGCTCCTTGTGCTAATTACCACACAGCTCTTGAGCTGAATCATTTGTGGTGGAACAGGGAAAGAGCTAATCTACGCAGGACTCTGGCCCCCCAGGACTGGAGTTTGACACCCCTGATTCTAGATGCTCAACATATTTTATAAAAAGTATGCAATTACAATGAAAAAAAAATCCATTTAATTATGTTTACATTTTATATGTTAAAGGGTTACTGGCAGGTATCTTTAACTTTATCTACACCAGATCTTTCTGCTTTCGTTATACCTGACAACTTCCTGCAATATACAGTGATACCCTTTGGCCTTCGAAATGCACCTACTACATTTCAGTGCTTAGTGAATACTGTCCTTTCTGGCGTACCGGACTGTTCGGCATACCCGGATGACCTCATTGTGTGCTCTCCTGATTGGTGCAGTCACATGCACACTTTGAGGGAGGTTTTTGAAAGGCCCAAAAATGCTTCACTGACACTTAATCTCGCAGAATGTGAAGTTGCCAAGGCGACGGTTACGCGTTTGGGGCATCAGGTCAGTCTGGGACAGGGGTGTCCGAATCAGGCCAAGGTGACAGCCATCTCCTCTTTAGCCTTGCCTGCCACCCGTGGTGAGTTATGCCATTTCCTAAATATGGCAGGTTACTATAGAAGTATTTATAAGAATTTCTCATTGGTATTGGCCCCATTGACTGCTTTGCTCAGTCCATCAGCGAACTCTGTTTAGGACACTGACTGCCAAAATGCTTTCAACTGTGTTAAGGCCCTGCTTGTCAATGGTTAGTCCTAATTTGTCCATGTCCTTTAAGCTAGTGGTTGATGCAAGTAATCTGGGTGCTGGGGCTGTTTTGTTCTAGGAAGTGAAGTGGACCATCCAGTGTGTTATTTTTCTCTGAAGTTGAACCGGCATCAGGTGTAACTATTCGGTGATCGAGAAGGAGACCCTTGCTTTATTTTGGGCCTTGCAACATTTTGAAGTTTACCTTGGTTCCACCCACCTTACTGTCGCTGTATATACTGATCACAACCCACTTGTTTTTTTGTCCCAAATGCACAACCACAATCAGAGACTTATGCGATAGTCACTACTTACAGAAGAACTTACTCATACCAACTGTTCACCCCTGACCTAGACTAGCGTGTTGTAACGCCCCCTCCCTCCAACACTACCTTGGGTCCGTAGAATAAGCTATTCAACAATCAAGATATTCCTGCAATAAGACAGAATGGCACAGAATATTATCAAACAGGTTTTAATAGTATTATTCCCTGAACTTGATGTTCAGTTGAAGAAGGAATTGGTTTTCAAATTTTGTAGCACTTTATCTAGTTCAAGCCTGTTTTGAACTTCACATACAGTTTTTTGATACGTGGAGATGAGTGCAGCAGGCCGGGTTTACAGTAAATATAGAAGCAGCTCCCTTCCTTCAATGTTAACCTTTTTTTCTTAATGTCCCAAAAATGTAGTAAAATGTATGTGAACAGTTTAATAAAAGGTCATGTTTTTTTTTGCCAGCTTTTAGGCCCCTATCTTAAAATGAGGTCAGGTGAATTGTGGGTGCACTGCTATCTCGAGGCAGCAGAAAGTGATTGTGTTATTGACCAGCAAAAACCTGGTCTAAAGTCAGTGCCACAGTATTTAAGTGTTATTTTAAGGGTGTGTTATCAAGATAGTAATGTGTGCCTACATAGGCGCATGCACAGTGTGTGTACACTACCTGTTACATCCTGTACAATTCAATTGGAAAAACAAACAAATCTGCTAGGGGGGAAAGTGTAAAATATCAAAAAACACACAATAAGCTGGTACACACCCTTAAGCTAATACTTCACTGAAGAACCTTTTGATTTAATTGCAGCATTCAGTCACAGCTGCCATCAATTAATGTGACTCCCGATTGACCCAAATAAAGTTCAGCTGTCCTAGTAGGATTTTCCAGACATTTACTCAATTGTATCCTACAGCAAAAGCCATGGTTCATAGAGAGCTTACAAGCATCAAAGGGATCTCATTGCTGAAAGGTATCAGTCAGGCGCTATTAGATATATCATAGAACACAGTGAAGACAGTCATCAGGAAGTGGAGGAAATATGAGATGACCGTGACGTTACTGAGAACTGGACTTTGCCCCAAATTGATGAAAAGACAAGACAAAGACTGGTCAGGGAGAATGATGAGGCCTACATCCACACTGAAGGAGCTGCAGGAATTTCTGGCAAGTACTGGTTGTGTACTGCATGTGACCGGAATCTTCCGTAATCTCCTCCATATGTCTGTAAATTGCAGTGATATGCCATTGCTGTGTTTTTGTTTCCCAAAGACCACATGCAAAGGTCTCAAGTCCATCAAGTCTAAGTGTGTGTGTGTGTATGTGTATTTAATACAGTTAAAGGAAAATCAATTCTGGAAATGTTATTAAACTAAAGTCACTTATACTTGTTCAAAAAGATGAAGTTGCAGTGACTGATAGCAGTGTCTGGAGCTTTTTAGCTGCTGGATGAAACACCACAATGGGAAAACAGGTTTGTGCATCCTGCA